AGCACTCTTCAGCCACCATTATAATAACAGTGGCCTTGAACTGAAATGGCCGGTGTGGGTGGTCTGGATTGTTTGTGCCGATGCCCGAGGGCCTGCCACCCAGCGCCCCTAAGCATGATGACTGAATGAGTGTGGGACACAGAGAGCTGGTTTATTTACCAGCAGTCGTATAGGGCACTGTGGCCACCGTGTCTCCCAGAATATAACTGACCTTTCTCGTCTTTTACTTTCTTAACAGACAAAGATGTGAGCAGTGGGAGTTATAACCTCTCCACCGCAACGACGGGCAGCTACTACAGCTGTGTCAGCCAGATCACCATAGGTGAGGAATTGTGTGTTTTTGTTTCATAAAATTTATTACTGCCTGGAATGGCGGGGGGTTGGGAGCTAAGGAACGAGTGAATAGAAAATGCAATCGCAGGAGCATTTATTTCCAGAGTCAGAGAAATTGCTGTGGATGCGCCTTGCAGGGCGCCCTCTTGTGGATCCTTATTGCATTTCCATAGAAATGGACAGGGGCAGGGTGTCAGAGAGGTTTGCCTAACTGTGTGTGTGTGTGTATCACTTGTGTGACTACGTGCTTAATATGAAAACTGGCTTACTTTTTAAGATTCATATTCATCTAATTTAAAAATAAATTTTATATCTCTACTGTAAATAGAAAACGTACATTATTTCCCATAAGTGTGTATGAGATGTATGCATCAGTGACAACCGATCAATGCTATCAAATGAGTGAATGCTAGCTACGCTGTGTGTACCAGCTGCCCTGTCTCCTGACTTGGAAACATAAAGTCTGCAGCTTGGGGCGTGTTGTTTTCTTTCCCTCCCCACCCTTTAAAAGAATATGTTTTTATTTATTTCAGAGAGAGGAAGGGAGAGGGAGAGAGAGAGAGAAACATCTATGAGAGAAACATTGATGGGCTGCCTCCTGCACGCCGCCTCCTGGGGATTGAGCCGCAACCTGGGAATTGAACCGGTGACCCCCTGGTGCATGGGACACCACCTCACCGGCCGGGCTGACCCTCCCCTTTTAGATGAGGGACCCTTCCAGGAGATGGGAGGGCACTCCGTGCAGTCTCTCCCAGTTCCTTCCTACGCAACCTTAAACATGTTTTATTTTGGTCAAAAAGGGAAGAGCGACCCTGATTACTTTTGTTTGCTGAATCCATCTTCTCCCTTCAAAATTTCCTTGATTCCAGAATCTTGGCCACCCCCTGAGAAGGAAAAAAAAAATGCTGCTGATAATCGTAGCTAACGTTCATTTGTTCTTCCTGTTTGCCAGCAGCCCTTGGCACTTGACAGCCATTGTTTTTCTTGATCAGGACTCTATGAGGAAGGTACTGTTATTTCTCCAGTTTACAGTTGAGGAAACTTGATCTTTGACATCCAGCCAGAAATGAACACGCCCAAGATTTCACTCCAGGTCTGCTTGACACGAAAGCTCATGCTCTTAAACACCACTTCATGGTTTCTCAAATTCCAGCAGTGCGGACCTCTCAAACAAGAAATGATAATTATGAACCTTGAAGGTGGATTTAAGTTATTTTTATTATAAGGATACTTAAGTTTGTTCAGACATAAAACTAAGTATATTCCCATATTTCAAATAGCCATAAAAATCAAATAAAATTTACCAATAAATTTTAAGACACTGTAAAGCAAAAAGAATTACAAACATATCACATTAGTTTAATATGATGGGTGATGTTAGCTTTGTGAACAATATCTTTTCGAAATTAAATATATGCTATAAATCAGCTATGATTTTATAGAAAAAATGGGAAAGCCTGACATTGTGGAGAGTCCAGAGTTCCTTGGGACTGTTAAACAGAGTGCTTTCATACTGTGCCCTGTTCTGTGTAATGCATCCCCAGGAGCTTGGGACTATGGAAGGAAAAGAGGGATTTAAGCGAGTTTCCGGATAAAGCATCAGGCAAGGGAAAGCAGGGTCCTGTATTTATTCTAGTAAAAGGATTCTCTGGTGTAAATAGAAGTAATATGTTTTCAAATTTTTAATGCAAACATCGATTTAAAGGGAGCATTCTGTAATTTCATTTCTATGGGCCTGTTCCCTGTCAGCAGGTGTGGGAGATCCAGGAGTATTGATCACAAAAAAATAAACGAATTCGCGTCTGAGGTTTAGTCCAGCAAACACGCTCAGGCTCGTCCTGGGTCAGGAGTGTTCGCTTCAGTCTCCTGGGGCTCTGGCTCCTCGCAGTTGAGAATTTGTGTCCTCGCTGAGTATCTCCGGAGGCTCCAGAGCCCTCGCCCAGGAGAGACTCCCTCACCTTCTCTGCACCCCACTTAGCCACCTGTTAGGAGGTGACCCACCAGGAAGGGCTCAGCCAATCCAGTTGGCCTGCTCTCAAGTTTGTCAGTGTGTTCCTTTCCTTGGGCCTTCTGGTCCACCGAGATCCCACTGTGAAAAATTGTTCAGAAAGGAATAAGTAGCCTTGGGGCAATTTGTGGGGAAACAGGCCCATTTCCAGCCGTCAGAATGCCCCTGGCCGCCCACTGCCTTGGTGAGGCAGGATGACTCGGTGCAGAGCACCGTGTTGCCTTCAGTGAGCCTGGGCGTGAATCTTGACTGTTATTTCTGTGTAGCTGTTGACCTTGGGGAAGTAGCAGTGTCCCTTAGCCTCAGTTTTCTCACCTGTCAATGGGAATCATAGTCCCTGCCTGACAGGGTTATTGTGAGGCGGTGATGGTAGATCCCTTAGTGCAGTGGCAGTAAGTATGGTAATTTTTAGTGGATTGATGAGTTTATGACAGTGGAGTAGATTGCCCATTCCTAGGCGTCAGCTCTGTGTTCCACCTGGATCGATACTGGAGTTATGATTCTGGTCCCATGGCTTCTGATCTTCATTTCCACCTGTTTTTCCAGCCTCCTGCCAGACATTTCCACATAGATATTTCCACTAAAGCTCTAATTCTTCATATCTAAAAACACACCCAACCTTCCTCGGTCCTTGCAAAGCCAGTCCTTCTGATTGCCACGGTCAGGAGGAAATGCACTGTCAGTTGCCCAGTGAAGACACCTGCCAGCCCCAGATTTCTTTCTTTCTGTGTCAACGTGGCCTGTGTCTCTGAACCTATCTGCCTTTCCTGCTGCCCACACTTAAATTTGGTCCCTTAATAATGCTGTGTCACAGCCTCTCACATCATCTCCTTGCCTCTGGCATCTGGGAAGAATTCAGTGAACGGTGGGCATCTGTTGCTTGCCAGCTCTGAGCCTACCTTGTCCTAGGTGACCGCAGAGGGGAGAGGAGTGAGGGAAAGGGTTAAATAGAGAACCACTGGGAGGGAGCGTCAGAGATGACTGAATACCCTCTGACCTTCAGGGTTGCTCAGTTCATGAGGGAGACACACATGGGAAGAATTGACACGGGCATAGTGTGTGGACAGGGACTGTCCGGCACCTGCCCATGTTCAGTGGTTTCTAGCACAGTGTGGAGGGCTGCCCCAGATGCCATCGTTCAGGCTCCTCCTTTGTTACTCCTTTTGGGCTTTTGTGGTTCCTCACCCCCCCCCCCAATTCAGACATTCTCCCCACACACCTCCAGTCCTTGCACGCCAGCATCTTTTACTGTGCCTCTCTCCACTGCGGTTAAAGGCAGCTTGGGGGAGTCAGAGGATGCTTCCTCGAAGAGGTCACCACCAGAGGAAGAAGGGACAGATTCTGGCTACTTTTGCTGCTATTAATTTGGTTTTTCCAGTCTCCATTTTACAAACTTTCTGGAGTATTCTTTTGCCGGTCAACTAAAATCTAGTTTTCTTACCTTGGCATTTAAGATTCTCAACTGTTTTGTGTCAACCTACCTTTCCATTCTGTGTTTTTTCTGACTACACTTATATTGTATTCCTAAATTCTGTATCTCTGTGGCAAATGAAAAGGCCTGCAGAGATCAGGCATAAAAGACAAATGAGTGAAGCCGACTGGGGAGTAAGGTATTAGGGAGTGGTGGGGTCTGTGGTGAGTGGAATTTCTTTATTCCACCTCAAGAAGGTGGCTGCTATGGTTAATCCAGCTGATAGTTGCCAAGTGAGAATGGGGTCCAGGTTTGCTTGACTGTAGAAGAACATCAAGAGGTTTTTCAAAAGAAGCTAGAAAGCTGGATTTTTCTCTGAATTTTTATTTTAATTTTTATTTCAAGTTAAGCAAAGTGTGGGCCAATCAAAGCACATCTGCAGAACAGATCTGTCCATCTGGCCTCTAGGTTGCAACCTTTGCCTGTAAGGTCATGATCATGTCACTTCTCCATGACCTAGTCTTTCCACCTAAAAGGGCTCTTTCCCCTGATATTCTGGGAGGAAATTTATTTTCTACTTTTAAACCCTTTCATCATGCTTTGTACTAAGGTTATGTGTAGTTTAGGGGGAACACATAGATTTTGGAGTCAGGCAGATCTGGGTTCCAATTCTGTTTCTCTCCCTTACTGGCTGCTTGACCTGGGGCAGGTTGAGATCCAGTTTTCTCATCTGTGAAACTTAAATAGTGATAGGTAGTCCCCTTGTACAATTGCCGTAAGTGTTAGAAGCACTTATGCAAAGTGTCTAGCACATAGTAGGTCTTCAGGTATTTTTTCACTATGAACATAAGTCTTAATCTTCTTTACTAGACTCTGAACCCCTTAAGGGAACAGACCTGGCATGCAGTGTGTGCTTAATAAATGTATGTTGCATAAGTGAACAGGATCCATTAAGTGTGATGGTCGTAGCCTGCATATTTTTTTGTCGTTGTTAATCCTTACCTGCGGACATTTTTTCCATTGATTTTTAGAGAGAGTGGAAGGGAGGGAGGGAAGGAGGGAGGGAGAAAGAGAAAGAGAGAAGAGAGAATCACAGAGATTGGTTACCTCCCTCACAATGCCTTGACCGGGGTGCCAGGGATCCTACCTGTAGCCCAGGTCCGTGCACTTGACTGGTAATTGTACCTGAGACCTCTTGGTGCACAGCCCACGCCCTAACCACTGAGCCATGCCAGCTAGGGCTTAGCCTCCCTATTTGTAAAGTAAGATGCACACCCTTATCTCAAATGGTGTTTGATCTGACTCACAGATAAGACTTACGGGAAATATAAAAACCACTACAGTATAAGGCTTCTATGGCTGCTCCTGACCTAATGTGTTTGTCTCTCCAGGTTATGACGTTTCCGGGCCTGTTGCAATTGGGGTCACCCACTGGAAAAATCCGTATGCTCAAGGCAGACCTGCCCTCCCATCAGACCTGCCTCTCTTCGTCTCCAAAGATGCAGGCATCCCCGTGTGTCACCAGTCCCTTACCCGCAAGACGGAGCTGGCCACGCCTCTGTCCTGCCCAGCTTCACTGTCCATCACTCCAGTGCCTTCCTACAGCAGCAGCAGCCAGGAAACCCTGAGTCAAGACACGACAGGTAAGACTAGTTGGAGACTCGCAACTCAGTGTATTTAAGATTCACACATTGGGCTGCTGACCAAAGTGCATCTGTGATTCTGCTTGTGTGGTGGTGTAGGCTCCCACATTTCCTCCTGTTCCCCCCTTTTAATAGCGTGGCTGTACCAGGAGGAAGGTCGGATGTGTTTATAAATATTTGACCTAAGTCTGTATTTGACCTACTTCTGTTTGATTTTCTGTTGATTCAGGAAATCAACTCTGAATCAGAATTTCAAGTTTTGCCATACGACTGTGTGTTGGTTTGTTTAATTTCTTTAATCCTCTATTTAGTGACAAGGCATGTGCCTTGCATTAAACTCTTGTATTGAAAAGAGTCATTAAAAAGTCATTTTTGGAAACCTTAGTTACTACCAATTCACGTTGCACCAGCAACCTGATTTATGTTGGGCCTGCAAATCAACGCCAGTGGACCAGATCTGGCCTGCTTAGTTTAGCCCAAGGACTAAGAATAGTACTTTTTAGAAATGATTGGTGTCTCAGTCTATTCAGATTGCTATAACAAAATACTGCAGGCTGGGTAGTTTTTAAACAACAGAAATTTATTTCCCACAGTTCTGGAGGCTGGAAGTTCAAGACCAGGATGCCGGAATGGCTGGATGAGGTCACTCTTCTGGGTTTCAGACTTCTCCCTGTGTCCTCACACGGCAGAAGGGGTGAGGGACCTCTGTGGGGTCTCTTTTATAAGGACACTAATCCCATTCATGAGGGCACCACCTTCATAACCTAAGCATCTTCTAGGCGCCCTACTTCCTAATGCTGTACCATCACATCAGGGATTAGGGTTCCAACCTTTGAATTTTGGGAAGGACACAGACATTTAGACCATACAGGGGGGAAAATTAAGAGAGCAATGATATTTTGAGACACATGAAAGTTATATGAAATTCAGATTTTAGCATTCATGTATGAAGTTTTATTGGAACACAGCCACACTCATTCATATATTTATGTGTTGTCTATGGTTGTTTTCGAGTGACAACAGCAGAGTTGAGTAATTGTGACAGAGACCATCTGGACTGCAAAGACTAAGATATTTACTGTCTGGCCCTTTATAGAAAATGTTTGCTGACCGCTGATCTGTGTGATTCTAGGAGTTATAACTTAAACACTCAGGGCAAGAAAACTGCTTATAACATCTCGCCTTAAAATTTATAATTTACATTGCACTTTAAATGAGTTACAGAAAGTTTTACCTATCTATGCAAGGATAGCCAGTTAATTGTGTTTATAAAAAACAACAACACTTGAGCTGGAGGTTTAAATCATGTAAAGTATATTCTGCCATGTTTTTCTTGTATAGCTATAGCACTTAAAGGTAATGGTTTAGTCAGCCAAATCCAATGTGTAATTCGTTCTAGAAATCAGTCTTTGTTGACATTCAACATTACAAATGCCACTCAACAATTCACTGATGCTGCCACCTAGAGGCAAGATGCTGATGTTGCAGAAGTTTCAGATTACCAAAGCAATCTCCAAGGCAGGGGACTGCAGACTCCACCTGAATTTAACAGTGAAGATTCCTGGGCTCTCCACCAGGGGCCGCTGTGTCCATGGCACAGAGTGAGCTCCTGCAGTGTGCATTCCGCAGGCTGCCCTGCCTGGGATTTTGATTCCTGAGGTTTCCATGCACACCTTGGGGGACCTGCTAAAGTGTCTTTGGTTAAATGACTAGATGAAAATCCAAGATTGTAGAGCACTGGGGATATTTGCTTACTATCAGCTCTGCCACGGCAAAACTACCCATCTTCCTGGTTGTCCTCATTGAGGGTTAGTTTGAGAGTAGAAAAGCCTTGATGGAGGTGTGAACATATTTCCACATGTAAGTCTGAAATCTCCTGGGTTTCAGTGTTAGCATGAAGGAAAGCTGACTCTGCTTACTCTAAAAGCTTCATAAAATCTGAAGGTAAGAAATAAAGTGCTGCCTTTGGCCAGGGTGGCTGAAAGGTTATGACATTCCTTGACAAAGACGTGTGAGAAATGGCAGCTGTCAGATTAACATTGTACCACCTTTCCCTTGGAGTTGGCTTTTTTCTTTGCATAGAGCACTCTACTGTACTCTGACTTTTGGAAGAGGTTTCTATTTTTATCTTGTAGGTTTTCAAAAACAAATTAAAAGCCCATAATTCCCTTCATTCCTTGGAACTTTCCACTGGCAATAAAATACTGAATTTTTCCAAGCAACTGGTATTATTATTATTAATTATTATTATTTATATACTTACAAAGTAAGCCTGAATATTTAAAGATGCCAGTATAGCTTCTGTAAATTTCAATTATGATTATATATAAGTCAATTATTATATTTATTTGATTTCTTATAGGGATTTATTGATTTTAATATGTATTTTTATGTGAAAGCTTCCAACTTCATTTCTTCTTGCTTTTTGCAAATTAAATTTAACTTTATTATTTCTTTATATATGAAGAAAACTGGGGTGAATAAGTCAGTGCAAGTATATCAGAATATCCTACAAATTCCAGACTTTGCTAGACATACATCCTTTCATATTTTCAAGCTGTCTTTCTTCTGCATAAACTGAAGGTCTGATGTGGAGGAGCTGACAAGTTGTAGGCACAAAATAACCATAAAATTATTTATTGATCATTTGAGTGTTCTTATGTTTAAGAATTTCCCCAGCCCTGGCTGGTGTGGTTCAGTTGGTTGGGTGTCGTCCCGTACACTGAAAGGTTGCCAGTTCAATTCCTGGTCAGGCACATGCCCAGGTTGCAGGCACAATCCCTTGTAGGGGGTGTGCAGGAGGCAGCCGATCAATGTTTTGCTCTCACATCATTTTCTCTCTCTCTCAAACTCAATAAACTATTCTTCTTTTAAAAAAAGGAATTTATCCAATGTTTTAGTTAGTAATAAATTGTAGCAGGTTAAGTTGGAAAAACAGTTTCCAGTTTTGGGCTTGCTCAATTCATCCATGCATCCATCCATGTATCCATGCATGCATCCA